CTCGCTTTTCTCCCCTGGCTGGCCTGGACCAAGAAACTCCTACTTATGCTTCCTGAATAGCTGGGGTTACAGAAGTGAACCACCACACCCAGCTTATTCATTGAGATAGAGGGGTGGGGCTCACTAACTTTTTGCCCGCCAACTTCAAACTGGATTGCAGACGTAAGCCATCAAGCCCAGCCTCCCTTCTAGCTTTAGTAGGAAATGATCCAGGAGAATACTCTTCCTTTTGTTTCGATTTTTGAGACAGGGTCTTGCTATGTAGCCCAAGCTGCAATCAAGCTCAAGAACCTCCTGCCTCAGCCTCCAAAGTGTTGGGATTACAGGTGCTGGCCACCATTCCTGGCTCAGCTTCCCTTCCCTTGAGCTCACTCTCCCTTGTTCCCAAGAGTCCTGGTGGTCCTTAGTACAAAAATCATTCTCTTTGATAGGAGACAAGAGGGGGAAAAAAGGGCTGGGGGAAGTCAGTCTTCTCTTACCTCCAACCTGACACCCAAATATCAAGTCTAGTTCTTTCCTAGCTTTCCAAATATAACACCTTTCAAATTTGCTTGTGACCTTGAGCTCCAGAGAGTTGTTCTTGTAAGTCTCTGGCTACTTCTGTTGTAGGCATGTCTGCTAGAATCTTTATGTGCATTTTTAAAAAGACTCATATTCTGAAATAACATTATTAAAAATAAGAGATCGAGGCAGACCACGCAACACTTACGAACTTTGTACCCAGAGCCCTAATAAACGCAGTAACAACCCCAATAAAAATATTGGCAGAGTTAAATGTCCAGTAGCATTCAAACCTCGAATCCTTTGCAGCCTAGCCCCTGGGGTGTGCACTGCCTACTTTTGGATGTGGGTTCCAGAAAGCTTTCACTTCTAATAGAAGTCAAAAGTGAAAATCTAAGTGGGGCGCCAGTGGCTCATGCCTGTAATCCTAGCTACTTCGGAGGCAGAATTCAAACCCTAATACTGGGGAAAGAAAAAAAAAATAGAATGACCTGGAAAAGTAAAACCAAGGGCTTTCTTCTGCCATCAAGATATATCAGAGAACTGGGCACCAGTGGCTCACGCCTATAATCCTAGCTACTCAGGAGACAGCTCAGGAGGATCAAAGCCAGCCTGGGCAAATAGTTCTCAAGACCCTATCTCAAAAAACCATCACAAAAAAGGGCTGGTGAAGTGGCTCAAGGTGTAGGCCCTGAGTTCAAACCCCAGACGTATCCAAGCCAGTGTCAGTGGTTCAAACCTGTAATCCTAGCTACTCAGGAGGCAGAGACCAAGACAATCTCCATTCAAAGTCAGCCCAGGCAAATAGTTTGTGAGGTCCTATGTCAAAAATACCCAACACTAAGAAGGGCTGGTGGAGTGGTTCAACAGGTAGAGTGCCTGCCAAGCAAGAATGAGGCCTGAGTTCAAATCCCAGTACTGCCAAAGAAAAAGGGTAAAAATCTGAGGTATAGTCTGTCTTCTTCATTGCCCATTGTTTTAGGATTGAGGCTAATTTCTTTGTCCTTTTGTCACCTGCACATACTGCTTCACCAAATGACTTAACATAGTAGAAACCAGAAATAACTGCATCCAAAGAAGACATTCAATTAGTAAACTAAATTTTTGTGGTACTGGGGTTTGAACTCAGGGCCTGGAGCTTGCTAGGCAAGTGCTCTACCACTTGAACCACGCCCCCAGTACCCAATTTTGTTGTTGTTGTTGTTGTTGTTAAGGCCTTCCTTTATTACTAAAATGTTCTCTAGTTGTGAGAATGCTTGTTTCTGATCCTATAAAATATGGTGGTGTATGCCTGTAACCAACATGATTTCCTCATTACACTGTCGTCCATTTACGCATCGTCTATGAGCAAGTTCATGGTAAAGGAGCCCTAGTCTGTGTTAGTCTGCAGTCATTTGCTTTCTCTTCTACCGTAATCTGCACCTTTTAAATCCGGAACGTTTTGGAAGCTTGTTGTGCTACCTGTAGTTATCTTCCATTACTTCTTCCTCTTTTCCCCTATTGGAACAGAAAAGGACAGTAATAGGAAGTTTAGCGGGAGTCAGAACTTGCATGGGCTTTGAATCAGGCAGCCCTGAATTCAGAACTTGGCCCAGCCAGTTACTTCATGTGTGATCGAGTCACTCCACTTAATTCTTCTTGGGCCTCAGGGTTCCCAATAGCAAACAAAAACTCCCACTTACAAGTGATGGCTGTTGTAAGGGTTAATACTGATGTACGTAAAACACCCAGCCCAATTCAGGCCTAGTGAATGGCACCTGTTATAGTCAGGATTGTTTACAGAACTTCCCAACCAGGAACCATCTTCCTCCCCAAATTCTCTTTCCAGACACTCCGTGTATCTGTTCTCTGACACTCTAAAGTGCAGATCCATGATGAGGTCCCCAGGAGAGACCTCACAGCTGCGTCTCCAGCATCTCGGTCAGAGCTTCTGGCATGTGGTGTGTGCAGAGGATATTGTCATTGATTAACTGAATTACTCATCTTTCCATTTAAGCTTCTGCCGTACGTTAATCTTCTAAATACTTTGTAGAGCTTTAAATTCTCAGGAAGGTAACTAGGAGTCACCTCACAGTATTCCGGATTGATGGTGGGAAGATGGAGAGCAGGGTTAGGAGAGGTTGAGGGGAGGAAAGCGTGACTGGTGGGAGGTGGCAATCTGAGGTAGTGACCTGGTACTTAAACTTCAGGGCTTTTCTTTGATGGAAGTCAGTGTTGGATAACTTTATCTTGGAAGTGACGTCCCATCGCTTTTTGCCATAGTCTGTTAGAAGCAAGTCACTGGGCCCAACACACACACACACACACATGCACACACACAGAGCGAGCGAGAGAGCAGGGGAGCCCATACAGCAGCGTGTTAGTACCAAGAGATGAGTATCATTGAGAACCATCCTAGAAGCTGCCCAGCATGCTCCCATCCCATTCCCCAGATCAAGAAACTGAGATTCGGAGAGAGTTCATAACTTCTAGGTCACTTTATTCAAACTCAGAGCAGCTTTCCCTTTTAATCACTAAGCACATAAATAGAGTCACTGTAAGTGTTTTTTTATGAGACAGGCTTTCACTATGTAGCCCAGCCTGGCCTTAAACTCAGATCCTTCTTCCTTAGCCTTCTGACTGCTAGGATTACAGGTGTGCCTGGCTCATAAATGATATTTTAAGCAATGCCTACTATATGATACTTAGATGTTCTCTCTCTTTCTCCCCCCAACCCAGGCCCTTCTTATGTGGTGTGGGGAATCCAACCCAGGCTCTTATGCATGCTAGACAAACACTAAACCACTGAACTACATCCCCAGCCCTTAAGGTGTTCTCTCATTCAATCCACAAAATAACCTTGCAGAGCTGGCTAGTATAATCTCCATAGAGAACAGATGAACGAATCAAGGACAAGAAGTGGCTGAATATACTACCATTCATAAAAATAGAGTGGAGAAGGGTTGAGCCTACCCAGGCCAGGGAGGGAGAGCACCTAGGCTGCCCACTTCTGTTTCCTGTTGTAGGACCAGGTGATTCATGAAGTTCCTGTTGGCCTGTGTGAAAGACCTCTCAATACCACGGCCTCTCTTGGCACAGGCTCTCCAGACCACTGCTGGTCATTTTGTTTCCCTTGCCCTGCCAGGAAACCTGAGCATGGCAGGAATCACACTGCCACTCTGCTTCTTTGATCCAGGCTCTTCTCTGTATAGACTGTGTCCCATCCTTGGTGCCCAGTAACTTCTTACCCCTGCTTCCGCTCCTAGTGCCTTGGGAAGTCACTCCTGGCTGGAAGATAGATCAGGCCCCTCTGCCACATGCTCTTCTCAGGGTGGAATATATTTCCTTTGTTGTGCTTTTTACAGTTCAGAACTGTGTAAACTATGGGGTGTGGTAGAGGGTAAAGTTTGTGAAGTTGCCTCAGTCCCCAAGGTGTCAAGTGTAGCGCCTGGCAAAGTGTGGGCAGACCATGAGTGCTGAGTGATTCCCGGGTCAGCCAGCCTGTCTTCCTCAGGACACCTCTTGCCTCCAGTGACGTCTACTTAATTGTTACCTTTTCAAACTGTTAAATCAAACTGCTAATTAAAAAAGGGTTGAAGGGCTTCCTGACTTCCTATGGAAACACTTAAAAGGGATGTTGGGAGACCACAGATTTGTAATGCCCTGGTCCTGGGCAATGACCTTGACTGGAGCTTCGGGCTCTGAAGGATAAACAGACCTAAACAGGAGGGGTTGCAGATATGTTTCAGGGTAGCAGAGGATTCTTTCAAAGTCTTTCAAAGTGTAGGGTCTGTCCTGGAAGTAGAGACAATGGTTTTTGAAAGGGAAGAGTATGTAAGAACAATGAAGAAAATAATACATGCTATTTGATACTCTGTATGATATATATACATACATATGCTCATCATTTGATCTCATTTATGTAAAAATATGCATTCCTACTAATGACTCATCGTTACTGTTGCTTACTATGTCATGACAACCCTCTAGAGTAGGTACTATTATTTCCTGTTTGCCCATGAAATAACTGATGCTTAGAAAAGTTAGATTATTTTCCCAAGGTCACATAGCTAGTAAAAGACAAAGTTCACATGGGGCTCTAGCTACTCAGGAGGCAGAGATCAGGAAGCTTGAAGCCAGCCTGGGCAAATAGTTCACCAGACCCTACCTCGACAAACCCATCACAAAAAAAGTCTGGTGGAGTGGCTCAAGGTGAAGGCCCTGAGTTCAAGCCTCAATACCACAAAAAATAAAAGTAAAAGACAAAGTTCACAAGTGCAACTCAGTCAGGCTCAAAAGCTCCTACTCATAATTACTATATTAAACAGAGAGAAAGCCACCAAAATGCTGTTTAGAGGAAATAGTTTATTCTTTCCTCTTTTCTCCATGTTTCTCTGTTTGGATTTACTGTAAGGGCTGAATGATAAACTTTTGATTAGGGAAGAAGGTGATGTGATGGAATTTGAATTGCTGTAGAAGATTTCACCCTATTTCCTTTTCTACTTTTCTAAACTTTCTAGAAGAACTGATGACCACTCCAATTCTACAGGCTGCTGAGACCCTGTCCCCAGAAGCTGAAAAAACCAGCACAGCACTCATTGCAGGTAATGAAGGCACTGCACCAAATCCAAGGAACACCCTGAGATCAGGGGTGTCTTGCTTCAGAGACAGACTGGGAACCAGTGTGACAATCCAAGATGCTCCCCATATAGTAAAAACACCACATCAGGGACCAAATGCATTACTGGGCTCATTCCCCCTTCTGGCATGTAGGCAGAAGCATGCATGCACACACGCACACACAGCCAGTAAATGATAGGTTAGGAGGTAGCCCTAAAAACATATTGCTGCATATGACATTACACTTAAGTACATGAGTCAGGATGAGACATGTGGTTTGTTGAGTGCATAAGGAAGAGGGACCAGAGAAACCCTCATAGGAAGCTATGGATTTTAAAAGTTTTAATAAGCTCTTCCTTATTTCCTTCCTTTCTGTTTCTATCATAATCATCAGGACCTGGTTTGTAAGGGAGTTCAGTTTTGTCAGAAATGAAACATTGTATCCTTAGCTTAGGTACCAGAAAACTCTGGATACCATGTCCCATAGAAACTGGGCTTGGTGGGGGAACATGGATTTGGAGCTGGATGCTAATTAACCCAAGAGGATCCTTATGAAGAGTGAGGAAATGGTCTAATGCAGGTGGCTCAATGAATTCCTGAGACATCCTCAATCCTGAAACATGTCTCCATTTTCCCTTTCCTTTCCAAGCTGTTATCACCATGGTCTTTCTCACCCTGCTCTCAGTCGTGATATTGATCTTCTTTTACCTGTACAAGAACAAAGGCAGCTACGTGACCTACGAACCTGCAGAAGGCGAGCCCAGCGCCATCCTCCAGATGGAGAGTGACTCAGCCAAGAGCAGAGAGAAGGAGGAGTATTTCATCTAACAATTCCCAGGCCCCCAGGAGTTAATTCCTGGCTCTGGCGCTAACACGCTGTTTAATTTATTAGGTGAAAGTTTTATTAGAAGCCAGTGAGTGGTATTGGTTGATATGGGCAAATCCGAGCTCCTTGTAGGACACAGGCCCAAATGCCTGCCATCTCTGACTCTAGGGACCAGGGACATGGAGAAAGCTGCTGATTCCTTAACCAGGCCTTGTTAAAGAGCTGGTGTTTGTGACTAGCCAACAAAGTGGGGCGATGCTAGGGATCATTTTAAGTATGTGCCTTTATGGGGGAAAAGGAATGAGCATTGCTAGCTGCTCTGCTCTGTCCCCTCCCTGGTCACCTAGTGATAGCCTCAGAAGAGATATCCTAACAATTTCTTCCCAGAGGCTAGATAACACAGTAAAAGGCCAGGCCAGGAAGAATAGGAGACTGGGGAATCTTACCTCCTGATCAATGTGCCACATCCCTTTAATCCAAGCCCTTCCTTTCCATATTCCCCAACAACCTCATACTTACGCTATTTTTATCTGAATTAAACTTTTTCTTGTGCAGGAACTACCTTTATATTTTGCCTTATCTTCACTTGAATTTTTTTTTTTTTTTGGTATTTTCTTTTCCTTACCTAACTCCTTTGCATAAGTCTCCCAAGCAGTAAGAATTCTAGAAGTTTCCAGAACTATTAGGAGTTTAAGACAAAAATGACCCAGGAAGCTTGACCTAAAGGAGCATCATCAGAAATGGACCCTGGGAGATGAGTTGGTTTGGCCTGCATCCTGGCAAGGGTCAGAATTCCCCAGATCCCCTATGTATGTACAAGGGGAGCCAGGAAAAATCTGCTTACCTCCATTCCCCATCAGTGTCCTCAGAATCAATCTAAGAAGCTTCTTGTATTTAACTTAGTCCCCAGAAGAGGTGTGTTTAAAAGGTGCAGTGCCTTGGTATAAACTATTAGCTCCTCAGGAATTACCCTGGAATTAAGCTAGCTTTCCTTGAGGTCTTAATGTATTGCTTTGTTATCCCACCTCAAGCCCACCCAAGGCAAGAGGCAAGAGGCAAGAGCCGAGGAATCCATCTCAGCAGCCTAGATTCCACAAGTTTCATTGTTACTCCACAGAGAACTTAAGAAACTGACAGTCACCCTGAATGTACACAGATTACTTCTCTAAGACATTTTCCTCAATGTAAACTTTAGAGCAAGTGAAGGGAACCAATTGTTTCTTTACTTCTAAGTTTAGGCTCTGAATTCCAGAATCTGAAAGTTTGGTATACTTTACCATCTAAAGTGGAACTCATGAAAACAATCAAATCTTAGCTTTGTGCTCCTGCATTTATTTCAAAGCCTTCATTAAAGAAAACTGAACAGCAGCACTTAGCTGAGTATCCAAGATATAAAAGATATATGCAAAGGAAATCTAAAAACAAGCTAAATAAAGAACACTTAGAGTGAGGTGTAATGCAACTTCATCACTTTATTCAAATCTTCAAAATAGTCTTTATTCTACATTTTTAGTATAAAAAATCCACAAGTTAAGTGCACCACAGTGTAGAGAGAGACATACAACGCTGAACTTCCATAACAGTCAATGGTACAGTCAAACATCACATGTACAGAACACAAAATTTAGATGAACTGAAATTATAAAATAAAATAAAATCCAATTTCAGAAAACAAAAAATATTAAGGATCCCTGAAATGTTCTTAACCCTAATGAGATTTTGCTGGACTCAAGTTATTTTATATTGAGACATACACAATATGACTCTATTAACCCAGTTTAGAAATTCTTGGGAGCCATGAGTGGCAACATTGGACAGTGACAAAAAATGGTGAGCAATTATTGATCTGAAAACTCGCCTTAATTTGGCTCTAATGTCAAGCTTTTGAAATACATGCTTTTCCTTGCCTGTCATATTTTAAACTTTTTAATGGGACAGTTTACGCTGATATCCTATGTTCAAAAAGCTCAGTTTTTCTGGCACCAAAGCAAATTTGGATTAGGATCATGTATGCAGAGACAACCTATGAGGAGGGTCCAAAAAGCACCCTCCACTTTTGCCTGAGGAGATACAAAAACAGAAGAAATGGGAGCCTGTGCTTAGGGCACAGAGGGTTCAGAGGATCCTTGTGAAAGACAAGTTTAAAGATGGCAAGTGGGAGAAGTGCAAGGAGAGAAGGAAATTAGTCTGACTGGCTTTCTGTCCTGCACCACTGATTCAATGAAGACTGGCTGGAGGGCATGGAAGACTAGGGATGGAGATGGCATGGGGACAGGGCAAAGGATGGAAAGGAAAAGGCAGACAACTAGTGCGTTTCATTTAACAGGTAAATCAGACTTAAAAGAGATTAAAGACCAATCAGAATAATTTGGCAACTTTAATTCTTAGGAAGATCAAAGTTCCCTCCAAACTTAATTTGATATTTTATTACTAAAAGCAAAGACCAGTATGGTAGAGTATTACTCCAGAGGAATTAAAGGAAGATCCTTGGGGCTGTTTCACCCACATTCATTTTATGAATGGATACCTCCCCTACCTCAAAATGCTTTAGGGAGGTACTGCTACCATCACATGGTTCCTTATTAAATTTGAAAAGTGCCTGAAAGTTTGGGCACCAAAAGACACCCCAACATGTGTCTAAACTGCAACTTCAGGTTAATATGACTAAAGCAGTTACATTGTGAGAAGTGCTGAAGGTATGTGATGTCTTTCCCGGCAGAGAGGTGGCCTTGGTTCCTCACCAGATGGTGTAGCCACCATCTGAGCCACCCATGAAGAAGTTTCCCTTCCGCTGAGTTACGAGGACATTGGCTCCCTGCATGACTGCAAGCTGAGCAGCATTGGGAGGGCATCCAGGAGGTGGAGGCTGAAAGGAAAGGACAAAGAGATAAAATGGGCACAGGGCAGCTGATGCAAGGGAAGGAGACATTTGTGAAGCAGAGCTCCTGTTAGGAAGATGGCAATGTGCCAAAGAATATCACTTTAAGGAACAATTCTGCCACCAATATGAGTTCTAAAGCAGGTCTGTCATCTCTGTAAGCCCAAAGACACAAAATTGGAAAAGTAACCTATTGCATTCAAAAGATCTGGTGTCCATAGGCTCCAAGATGAAGTCTATGGCTACCAGACCCACAGGCATGTTCAGGGTAGCAAATTCCTTCCACTCACATTCCCAAAGCAGGGACAAGGTGCCAGGCCCAGACTAAATCCCACAGGATTGTTAGGTGGTTGGTTGGGGGTCCTTTTTTTCCCCCAGGGGTAAGGGTGGATGGCTGAGAGGTGCTTTTGCACAGGCTAAGTACTCTACCACTAAGCTATACCCTCAGCCCTCCAGTTATGTTTTGATTTGTGATACTGAGGTTTGAACTCAGGACTTCATTCCACCGTATCAGCCATGCCTCCAGCCCTTTTTGCTCTGGTTATTTGGAAATAGGGTCTCCCTTTTTGCCTGGGCTGGCCTGGAACCTTGATCCTTCTGATCTCAGTCTCCTGTATAGTTTGGGATGACAGGCATATGGGACTGGGCCAAGCTATGTTGAGATGGGGGTCTTATGAGCTTTTTTCCCTAGGCTGCCTCGACTGTGATTCTCCCAGTATCAGGCTCCCAAGTAGTTAGGATTAGAGGCATAGGCCATGGTGTTCAACCTAGTTTTTAAGTAGACCACTGGATTACCTAAAGGCTCATTAATGACACTATTGCCACTTCATCTCTAGCATATGGTTCCTGAGTAGATGGTCTTAGCAAGGACTATGTAGGCTCTAAATCCCATGTAGTGATGAACTAAACAGAAGACACTGATAATGAAAATTCCTACTATCTTTGTAGAAGCTACTTACAAGGGATTACACATTCTACTTTTTTAATCATCTGAGTTCTTAGTACAATTCCATGCTTATGGCAAATATTAAGTGTTTATGGAATGAACAAGGGGCATCACCAGACCAGTTAATTATACCAAAATGAACAGGAAAAGCAGCAAGCAGGACCCATAAGGGAGAAAAACAAAGGAATCTGGTTAACTCAGATCCCACTGAATGTGCCAGGTGCACTTCACCTGCCACACTGCTTCTACCCCCTTTCTGCCTATGAGATGACAACTATTGTCCAGGGATGGTATGAAGTAATTTCAGGAAGTTACAGTACACAAGGGCTGAGTTTCTTCTGATAAGGACATACTCACAGGAATGTTGCCAGCAGCAGCCCCAGCTCCAAATCTGGCACCTGCATCATATCCTCCTTCCACCAGCACTGTTGAACCAGGCGGATAGATGGGACCAACTGGATAGTAAGCCATGGGGATTGTGGAACCTAAAGGCCCAACAGCCACAGACTGGGCCATGGGAAGATACAGAGAAGTGCCAGGAAATGCAGCTGACATGGTGGGGACTGTGGCAGCCCCTGGGTGCACAAAGCTTGGACGATATAGCTAAAGAGGCAGAAGAAAAGGTAAAATGTTACTTTATGATGTTCCTATTTGAAATTTCTTTTAATGAGTCTATTCTTTCTTTCTTTACGAGGGCTTGAACTCAGGGCCTGTGAGCCACTCCACCAGCCCTTTTTTTATGATGGGTTTTTTTGAGATAGGGTCTCACAACTTTTGCCTGGGCTGGCTTCAAACCACTATCCTCCTGATCTCTGCCTCCTGAGTAGCTAGATTACAGGCATGAGCGACCAGCACCCAGATTTGTTTTTGAGACAGGGTCTCTATGTAGCTCAGCCTGGGCCTCAAACTCAATCCTCCTATCTTAGCCTCCTGAGTGCTGGGATTACAGGCATAGGCCACCACACCTGGCTCCCTGGGTCAATTTTTTTGTTGTTGTTGTTGTTTTTTTGGTGGGACTGTGAACTTTGGTTGCAAACTACTTGAGCCACACCTCCAGGCCCATGAGTCAACTCTTAACTCTTGTGCCTATTACTTACACTTTTTTTGTGTGTGAGTTATACAAATTTCCTTTCCACTGGCATTCAGTATTCTCCTGGATCATTTCCTGCTAAAGTTAATATTAAGTTCAAGGCACACAAACTCATCTTCATATCCTCAGTTTGTGCTGAATAACAAAATCAGACAATGCATCCTCAATTCCAACAGAAATTACTAAACTTATATACTGTTAGATTTTTCATGTGAGCACTCTTGCGTTTGTGAAGTCAGACTGAAAATGTGGTCCAAGAGTACTCTCAACTAGTTCAAGTTTTGCAAACTGACAGTACCTCTGAGTAGGCAGGTGGAGCATCAGTATAGGGTGAAGCCTGAGGAAGATGCAAGGTCTGAGGGTATACTGGATTCCCAGGGGGCTGCACAGGGTAGGTTGGCTGCGTTGGGTATTGACCTGGAATACAAAGGGAGGGAAAAATGCAGGTTGCCTACTGAAACAGAGCCACGAAAATGGGGCAAGACACATTAAGTAGCTAACTTGTTGGGAGCAAGCAAAAGGAGATTTGCAGACCCAGAGGGCCTGATTTCTGGACCTAAGAAAACAAGCATTGTGTCTGTATCCTTATAATGGAAGGTGCTGGGTTCTGCCTGGACAGGAAAGGCGCTGTTCCTTCCCACTAGCATACTGATGTAAGCGAAAAGT